CGACAAGGATTCGAACCCGCAACCCTCTGATTGCGAGTCGAGTGCCTTAACCACCTGATGTCACTCGTATAAAGCATTTACGGCCATAGACGTAATTTTTACGAGGATCTTGAAGGACATGTCACCCGCACTTTTTCAAGGATATTACACCTGCTTTTTTATAGGATATCCTCATGTATTTCTTAGATACAGAAACTGTCCTTTCCACTTTTGAAACTTCGCCACTGTCCACGGCCGCAAAGTGCGGAGCGCATATTTTTGTTTTGGAGTAACTGGACACGAACACTGGATTCACAGATATAGTCCTGAATGCTAGCTATTGGAACACGCTCGGCCAAGCGCAAAGTCAAGACATAATTAACTCATTGTAAAACATTGTTATCTAATTTTGTGTTTATCCACATTCCCAGATAATGAAACCATGGATGAATCGAACTGTAATCACTTTATGAACTTGTTGTTTCACGTTTCCTGTCACAGTAAAGTGTCAAAATGTGAAAAAGATGGAAAACAGAATGAGCCATACAATAAGAACATTTTATCATCAGAATATGGTCTTGGCATATGTGCAAATTGGTTCTAAGAACTATGTGAATACAGATAAGAAGTACGGTACTGAGTGAACTTGTTATTCAAAAATAAGTGTAAAAATTTTAATTTTTCCGAAATATGTGGTAATTCTCAAACTAAAAACAAATATAATTTTATATTAACCAAAATACATAGAATCGAACAACTAAAAAGAATGTCAAGTAAACTGACAATAATCATTGAGGTTTTTAAAAGACTACACCAACTGAGGTGTGGAGAGAGTGGTTTAACAAACTGGTTAGGTACTGAAATAAAACTAAAAACCTTACATTCAGCTAAAGTTATTAAAGAGATAATTAATAAAATTACTGTTCATCTAAAGTTTCCAGAAAGAAGAAACATTTTTATTTAGATGGTGATATAAAAGGAAGAGTTAGAGAACAGATATCAGAACTCAGCGGAGTCTTGGTATCAGAAACTGAACACACAATGAACAAAGCGGTATGTATATACATGTGCTCTTAGAACCTTAGATAAGTGAGCTCAGTTGAATTAGAACAAGGTAATATAGAGGTTTATTAGAGGTTGTCTTCTTTCCGAATAAGCTATAGTACTTTAAACGTATTTTGTTTTTGAACATTGTCTGATAAATTGTACTACAATATATATATATAGTATACCAACAACAAAAATCTCTTTTAAAGAGTATAAAGTGTTTCCTTCTGATATTAGTTGAATATGTTTAAGAAATTAATTCTTCTGTGATCAGAGCTTTATCTGATATATACTCTCTGGAAAAATTAGTGTAATATGATATGTAGTATTTAAACACTTTTTTACACACACATAACTAAACCATTCTATGACAAAAGTTTGTTTGTGTTTGTCTGTTTATTCTAGCGAACCGCTAGACGAATTATTATCAAACCTGACATGTATTCTCAGGGCAACCAGGAGACTGAAATATGGGGGTAAGAGTTCGGATCTGATCCCCATATGTCATCCAGGGGGCCGTATGTCTTCTTCGTGTGTTGTGTGTGCTTATGATTGACAACTCGCTGGACCGATTATCACCAATCTTGGCACGTACCTTTAGGACCTCACAGAGAGCGCAATACTTCACTGTCGTTTCGTTGTTAAACAATTTGGGGAAAAAGTGTGAGTTACTTAAATATAAAAATAAAACAGAGGGTATAAGCTCAATAAATAGTGTTCCATGACACAAATTACACACCTTCTTGGATGTGGTAGAGGAGCAATGCTATAGTTGATATTACGATGGAAGTTATCTACTAAAACCTCAACAGGACCCTTATGAGTGAGCGAAGCTATCATACTTTATTGTCATAGTACCGCAGCATACCTTTCAGGACCTTGTAACTGCCCTGTATAATAGTAATAACTTATTATTCTTGTTTTCCCAGTTTATCCTTAATTCGGTTGGGTCTGGCTTTCTTGTACACATGATGTGATCGAAAGGGCAAAATTTCAAGCCTTTATATGCTGCTGAAAAGAAATGACCCTTTACGTTTTCGGCAAGTTATAAAGGTGACAGTTAATCCCACTATTACGATAAGAGTATATGTGTAGGCGGAGGTTGCTGATGACTTGTTGCCTTCTTCCTGGTCAGTGTGTGTAAATTAGTGATGTTTCTACCAGAAACTTGGGTTCTCTGGTGTGATGGTTTAGTCCATGCATCGCATAGGATGACGTTCATATTGAAAAAACACTACACATTATATTTATTTGTATTATATTTTTATCTTCATTTTTTTTTGTAGAGTGTATGTTTCATTTCCCTCCTGCTGTCAACTGCATTGGTGAACGCTGAAAGCCAACATGTTCCAAAAACGGAAAATGATCTGAAGACGTCGGCTACTGTTTATGGAGGTTATGGTCTAGGAGGTCTAGGTGGAGGCTTTATCGGTGGAGGTGGTCTAGGAGGTCTAGGTGGAGGTTTTATCGGGGGAGGTGGTTTAGGAGGTCTAGGTGGAGGCTTTATCGGTGGAAGTGGTCTCGGTTTTGGAGGAGGAGGATTAGCTATTCAGGTATACCATTTTATTTTATTCGTGGAAGTCAAAAATTCTAAATTTTGGTTTATTGTTAAAATGTTTAAAAAATAATAATCAACACCCATTTTTTTAATTTGGCAAATTATTTTTAGGCTGTTCCTGTGGCTGTTGGTGGTTTAGGAGGTGGATTGGGAGGAGGGTTTGGTGGTGGTTTTGGAGGAGGCGCAGGAGGAGGTTTTGGAGGAGGCGCAGGAGGAGGTTTTGGAGGAGGCGCAGGGGGAGGTTTTGGAGGAGGCATAGGAGGTGGTTTCGGAGGAGGTGCTGGAGGTGGTTTTGGAGGTGGCTATGGATGTTGTTATGGAGGAGGATCCGGAATTCTTGCTGTGCCGCTAAGTCTAGGAATATATGGAGGTGGTAGCAGAATATGGTGGGACTAGTGTAAGGGAAACAAATTGCAACCAACTGTTAATTTTCCAAATATTTTTATTTAGGCTCAGTTAAATTATTTAATTTATTAGATATAACATACATTATTCCTATTACAGAAAAACTTTCTATATTTTATGTTTTATTTTTGAATGTTTTGTTTACTTTATTTTTGTAAAAGTTAAAAATTTACTTTGATCGTAGGTAGAAAGTAAACTTACGTTGTATTATCTCATGGCAAAGGTATAGTTGTTTTTCCTCTAGTATATTAATTATTTTTCAATATTTTCTCTTTCTTATCAGGAAAAGGTGTTTGAATCCAGACAAATATACGTTCAACCTATGGTTAAGGTGCCTTTTCGCCATCTAATGAAATTTTAACTGGACATATCGCTTCTTAAGGTATAAATTTGGGACCTCCTGCTTCGATCCAGTGAAAAGATTCATAAAGTTTAGGTTTCCTTCAAGCCATTTTAACGTTAGAAATATTGAGGATTTGAAACGAAATAAAGCTTTGCAATCAAACAATGTCTGAGCCTGTACTTTTTCTGAAGAAAATAATAATTTGGACATCAGAGCTCCTATCGTAGAATATCAAACCAATGTCTTTGCAATCCAATATAGATTTAAAGTTTCTAAAATAAATCATTTTAAGAACACTGTATATATACGTATATAACATTTTATTCGCTACAATAAATAGGTTCTCTTTTGTATATTATAGAACGAACAATTGGACAGGAATTTCGATTTCGTCGCCGAGTTAAAACTCATGTGTCGTTATTTGTGGTGTATAGTGTTTTATTAATGTGCAAATAGAGGACTAATACAAACATTTCTATCTGTTTAATGCTAATAGAAAGTAAAAACGTAATGAAAAAAGAAACAAATGTCACACTTATATAAATACACAGCGTGGTCACAAGTAAATAGACACCATCTTTTCATATTCACATTAATTAATATCTAGCAGATCTTCCTTTCGCTTCGTGGAGTTCGTTGATCTTTTGGGGCATCGTGAGAATCATCTCGTAAATTTTAGATTGTAGGATTTTCGCCCACTCTTGCTTCAAAACTTGGAGTGGATCGCTCTTCGAAGTTGATTTTTTTGTTGTTTCTTGACTTGTCGGTCGAGTATGGCCCAAAGGTTTTCGATGGGGCTCATGTCTGGAGATTGGCTCGGTCAGGGCAACTTCTGGATACCATTTTCTTCCTGTCACTTTTGGGTGTTTCTAGCAGTGTGACACGGTGCTCCATCTTCCTGGAACAACGTTGTGTTCTTGTCCACGAAACCCGAGGAATATAGTGGCAAAAGTCCTTCCTCCAATATTTCTATGTATTTCGCAAAATTTATGTTGGCAACGAACTCCACTAAGCTCAATCTCC